ACTCGCCCGAACACTCCCTAACCGCCGTTATTTCAATGTGAAACTCGTCCAACTCCCCTTTCCACCTCTTTTTTTGACCCTTTGTAATTCTTTTTGTTCATCGTTTTTTCCGCTTTTTTTTGTTGTTATCGCTTTATTGTAGAGTAGTTCTATCAATTCCCGTCAAAAAAGGGTACCCTAAATTTATTGCTAACGGTGCCTTTAAGCACCCCTCCTTGGCTAGGAATTCGTATCTAGCGCCGAGCTGCGCTGTCTAAACTAAATCTGCGTCTTTAACAAGCGCCGTGCACTGGGCAATCAAAGGGTACAAGATGAGTACGACGTTACCAACAGAATAAGGAAACCGAGTAATTACGTAGGTTCATCAGATTATTATAAATAAGGGATACAAGAGCAGTTGGCTGAATGCCAGTGACCAATGAGGTGACACCACGAAACACTATAAAATACTATGGTAAATAAACGTACACAATATATGGAACCACAGTAAAACTCAGGGAGGGACTCCGTTTCTGCTCAAGCTCACATGGAGCAATCCGATACCTCCAATTTCCTATGGTTTCAGCATAGTGGTCCATTCACGTCGACTGCGAGTCAAGCTTCCAGGTGCTCCGCGCCTCGACAATCTGACTGCGATATCTTCAGCACTGAATAGTAGAGATAATGATAGAGGTGCTGCTGCCAACAGGAACTGGAATCGGCACGATGAAGACGCTAGTAGGCTAGTAATGACATTATGATGCAAATACTAGGCCAGAGCTCATGAAGGAGCACTTCCACGTTTGCCACGTGGCCTCCTCTAGGTCTTTGCCGGTGACGATGACCTCCCGGCGCGCGCCATGCCAGCGGCCTTCAAGACGACAGGATTCAATCCCCGGACCATGCGTGTGATACTGCTCGCCATTAGCCAAGGCACAAATTAAAACTTACAGCAGAAAGAAACATGTAGACTGACTCTGTACACGAGAGCCATAGCTTCCACAAGTAAAATTTCCTCAGCGAATTAGGCCCAGTTCATACACCACAATAAAGTTGCCAGACCTTTATTCTGAATTATCGTGAGTTTCGGACTTTTTACCTCTATTGGCTAACAGGATAACCCTCAAAGCCATTTACTCAGACACTACTCGACCGAACCCTCCTTATTACGCCCTAAGTCGGTGTAAATCACCTAGCCATGAGCAAAACAGGTCGCCAGCTTAAATGGAGTGCGTGCTGAAGCACCTTTTGTGGAAAAAGAAGGGCAGCAGAGCTAGTTTTAACAAAGAGTACCTGACTGGAAGAAGGCCTTGGGTTGCGACTGCGACACATAGCAAGCATAAGACCGAGATACACAACTGGAACAACTTAGAACTTATCACTATTGGTAGAATGACCGAAGTCTAACATCGTCAAAGCCGGGCATTTTTGGAAGCGTTTATAGTGAGAGCCAGAGAACGTTTGAAAGGGAGAGCTGTCTCGTTAAGTAACTCGGCTCTTTGCTATTTCGAGAGCTTTCAGAGTGACAAATTTTGCAAATCAGAAAAATATAAACAGGTCAACATTCAGAGAGAAAACGCACCTCATACCTATACTTAATAAGATAATACGGTTCTGCATCTGTTATTATTTTGTTTTGACAGATCCCCTTCACAACTGCCGAGAAGGGAATCGTCTCGTCAAGAGGGGAGCNAAGCCAGGCATTTTTGGAAGCGTTTATAGTGAGAGCCAGAGAGCGTTTGAAAGGGAAAGCTGTCTCGTTAAGTAACTCGGCTCTTTGCTATCTCGAGAGCTTACAGAGTGACAAATTTTGCAAATCAGAAAAATATAAACAGGTCAACATTCAGAGAAAAAACGCACCACATACCTATACTTAATAAGATAATACAGTTCTTGCATCTGTTATTATTTTGTTTTGACAGATCCCCTTCACAACTGCCGAGAAGGGAATCGTCTCGTCAAGAGGGGAGCCTTCAGGTAAGATTAAGCGTTTCTCATTACAAATGTACCTCAGTGTTACTATTACGAATTAATTCTAGCGATGGTGATGTGCTATATTTGCATCTCTGACGTAATGATGAAGCCGAAGAAGACGCGCCACACTCTGGGTTCGAAGGATGGAGCGTTAGAGAAGGAGAACACCTCGTTTCAGGTCATAGTAAGGCGACGCTCACGATATATCTTGACTGTGCACTCAAAATTACTACCAGAGTACAACCAGCGAGTAACCTCTTTAAGGAACATTCAAGTGGTCAATTAAATTAAGGGGAAAATTTCCAGGATAGAGTTTTGCGGCCGATGATCAATCCGTTTGGGACAGGGAAGAATTCAATTTTCCTTCAAAACCGTACTGGTGTTTTGAGTGGGTATGTGCGTACAATGACTCGCGGTGGCAACCGATGGTGGAAGACTAGTTTGGCTTGGACGAGAATCGGTCCAGGATTCAAACCCCGTACCATGCGCGTAATAGGAGCTGCATAACTCTACGGCGATTTCGCCTCAGATAGATACTCAAAGGCACAACTTACGATAAAAATGGTACGTTAGATATCCTGCTAGGATGAATCTGTGGTCCCCCATATACCATATATGGCGCCGTCAGGACTAAAGTGCTAGAAGAGGGTTTGGAACTTGGATATTGAGAACAGACAGGACTCATGGTCTCTGGGTTGGGTTCCTTGGATGAACTACCCGCTTGAAGTGATAACAGAGCCAAGAGGTAGCTTCATCAAGCTTTTTTTTGGAGATTTTACCCTCCAACAACCTCCTTGTGAAGTCCTTTGTCGCTTTTTTGGGCAACTTATAATTCCCACAGGCTCTTTACTATTCCGAATGCAACTAAATCCACCAAAGCATTTCATGACTACTTCGTCAGACGTTCCAGTGATACCGGACCTCCAGATCAATTGGATCATCGCTAAGTTGCAAGATATCTTAACAACTATATTTGCATATGTTTTTTTTGNTGTTTTACCTAGCGCATATTCCACTTTCATTTAGTATTACTGATATTTTTATTATTCACATATATTACGCTGGCTCATTGAACAACTCGAACTGTCTATTCAACCAATTTCTCGATTTCTCCATGAGCCCTTCCATAGTTACAAACGAGAGGTGAACTGCAAGAAGTCATTGAGCTCAATAAAATCGGGCAAAATTAGAATTCGGAAAACCCATCGACGATAGGTTGCTCATGGTTACATAGAAACGGTTACCCGTAACCTACATTACCAAGCAACTGCTTAGCATTTCAAGACGAAATGTTCGCCACGTACGCCCTTCTCCCATTTCTACTCGTCCTTTTCTATACGGTAAAATGCAGTAAAGATCTGATTTGGAAATTGCTCCTATGAAATGGTATACTTTCAGGTGACCATAGGATCTGCGACACATCAGAAAACACCATTCGAAAGAAAAACATACAAAGGTTAATATTTATGAATATTCATACTATATACATAAGGGGGTCCCATAATTTTAGAAATAACTCCTAGATTTATACCATTCATCCGGAAAAACCGAAAATGATGGGGCTTTCCTCCCGCACCGCTACTATTATTCACCTATACGCAAGCGGACTCCTAACTCGCGAAACAACAGGATGCTTGTCTAACTTGCTGAAGAAACCAATGCAAAACGACGGATCCGTCCTCCGAGCCTCCCTTCCAAGTCCAGATATTCAAAAAATTACGATAGCATTTCAACTATAATACAAATAAGAGCTTTGCCCTGATGGCAACATGTAATATCATTTGTGTGCCTTCATGATACTATAGGTTGGCCTTGGTAGGGGATTTCTGGGATTTGATCTTAGATCACTATTACGACGATAGCGCCCTATGCTACTACCCTAATGGTAAGTCTCCCCTCCTTACTGTGGAGTGGAAGACTTAGGGTAGTGGCATATGTAAACTAGTAATACTACAGTAAAGTGAAACCTTTCTAACCGAGTTTTTAATTATGCAAGTCTTCTTAGTCTTTTACAGAATGTCGCGTCTGTAACTATGTGCCAATCAAGACGAGTGGGAAGCTGCCTATCGAGCTGACAAAAGATCGAAATCTCCCACAACAACTCAACGGTTCCTGTGCTAAGGTTCGTTATCATTTTCTTACTAATATCAGAAGTATCATGGGAAACTGTTTAAAAAAATGAGAAAAATGTGGGTCAGAAAAAAGCATGTGAAACTCCTCTGGCTTACTCTACTAGGGAAATTATTTTTGTAAAAGATAAAAGATGAAGTCTTCTGCCGTCAAACCGGGTTTGACTTCCATTCGAAATCATGGGGACGTATTGAATGTGCACGTGGTCTGTAGCCTGTAGAAAAATGACTTATGGTGGACAGCGGATGAATAACTCAGCGCTTTTATCCCAATACAACACAGTGGCGAAAAATTATCTTTCCACCACGCCCTAAACTCTCATCTCCAGCACACAGCAGAGGCTGTAGAGTGTGCTACATCGTATAGCTAGTCATATCCTAATAGTCCATTTAGTATAAAAATGTATAGTAATCACTAAAACTATGCCAAAATCGGGCCGTTCCAGCCAAATGTCGAACAAATGGTTTATACTCCAATTTCGCACCTGATGGCAGCCGCTCCACATCTTCTGCTGGCGTCAAACTGAAGGCATTCGGTGGCAATCGATCACATCGAAATCTGGGAGCGTATGTAACATTTCATTTTCGGTTGGGCTGCTCTGTCTCTTTCTGCTTTTCTTTTCTTTCACCTTTCCGCTCCTACAAATGGCAATAAATCTTGAGCATCATACACAGCGTCATGCAGAGATCTCACACAAACCTTCACAAAAATATCTACCAAGAAAACTTTTGGGAAGTCACTTCGATAGATTATTTTCAGGCGATGGATGCTAGGGAGGCATAAAATCTCCTCTTGTTGCGGAAAAGCACAGTTCACACCATAAAAAACTTTCGAGATTACTTCATTGGAAGTCTCGGACCCCAAATGATAGCACAAGTGACGCCGAGGGAATAATAAAAAGCATTGATAGGACGCAATGAGGTCCCCAAAACCGGCCTAGCCGACGTACACACCCAAAAGCGGACAAGTTGTCACGGCGCTATTGTAGCTTTACAGGTCGCATCATCCTGATCGGGACGCACACTTTGGACAAAGGCAGCTTGCTGTAGCTAATGTATGCAATGACACACACATTTGGACAGCTCGTCCAAATACTCATTCCATGGAACTCTTGTCGTCACACTCTCATCACTCCACTGGTTTTTTATGTTTATGGAGTCTTATATTTCTCTAAAGACGTCTAAACCTTCGTCTACAAATAGAAACTTCAAAATTATCATGAACTGTGCCTTCAATGCAAGTCGGATACGACTACATCCCGCTGATGGAGCCCTTCCGTTGTTCAGTTCATTACAAACAAACAATCGAAAAAAAAATTTGAACGACGGAATTCTGTGGCCTTCTTCAGCCTGACTGTGAGCATTGTGCCGCTATTCGCCTACTCTCCAGGCACCGCTCTGAGGCTTCTTGGTTTCATTGCTGAGACCATTGCATGAGGGCCATGTTGCATAAGCCCCGCTAAACGGCGAGAAATCTTGGTCGGATCAGCGACGGCTTTGGATCTCAAAGACCATCGTGGTGCGAAACCAGATACGCAAGTATTCGGCCTTGGTGCTTTATTGTCGAAAAATCAAAAGAAAAAAGATGTAAGGATGTCAAGTCGATACCCAAGTGGAGCAAAATCAAAGTTGCAACCGAAATAATCATTTTTCACATTTTTATAGCTCAAAAGTAAAAATTGAATCCCATTTAGTGGAAAATCTCTCTAGGGGAGATATGCAAAATCAAGGGTCTGAACCTGTTCAGTATTAATAAAGCTAATCAAAAATAGTATAATACGATTCTAATAAAACAACAAGGTATTTAATGTATTTCTGCTTGTCTTTCAAGTCTTTCGAGATGCGCCGTGCACAGAACAAAGTGTTGAAATTTCAAAGGAATTTCAAAGTGTACAACGACGGCTTATACGCAGTTTGAATTAGATTTGTTTTCTCCTAGAGAGAAAGTATTGCTTTCAAATAGCAGTACTGGTGTTTTCTCCAGAAATTTTGACATACGTGTTACTCTACAGAAAAGAAAAGTTCCATTGAATGAGGGCGATCTCATCCCCTTGCCCCTCCTGTGGAGGCAATTTTTGGTCATTCGGTAAATGTTCAAAGCAGTTTAGCCAGTTCACGGGTGATCCATCCAAAAAGAATCTCCTTTGGACAGATAATTATTCATAGCCACCATCGCAATACGTTGGACATCGTTTTCGGATCAGTTTTTCGGAGCAGGATCCATGTAATCTTAAGCTAAATCTGAGCTATTGGCGATCGAAGATTCGTCGAAGGCAGTCTTGTATGGCCAGTTCCATTGCCTAAGTGTCGTAACTCTCACACGCGTTTACAGCCTCCATCAAATTCGCAGCTTTTCCTAACTCATTTCCAAGGAGAACCGGATCAATTCCATCTTCGACACCTTCACTCTTCACTTTCCCATCCGTACATGTGTTTCGAAATTGGCTCTTCTTCAACGACATGTGCAAAGTTAGCTGTCTTTCTACCATGTCGTCCTGCTATTATGTCTACATCAGTTATTCTCTGACCAGTCAGGCCGCCCGGCTAACGCCGGGCTTCCCTCCTTCTTATGGGTTCGCCCGGCTACGCCGGGCGCTCCTCCTTCCTGTGAGAAATTTGCTATGCGTAAATAACACTTCGGATTCTCCTTTTTCTTTGAAAGCTCTACACCCTCAGTATTAGCTCCGAATCAGGAGCGATTTTTTCTGTAAGCCATCTTCGCTGTGTCCGAATAGAACATCGCATAACATCACAAATGCGATTACTCAGAGAAAAAAGTATTCAGATACTTCATCGCGGCTGAGTCTACTATGTTAGCTACCANTACCAGAATCACCCTTTCAAAGGGCCGTCCGTGCGCGGGCCAGGATCGATATCCTACAGAAAAAGTCTTTCAACCGACTTGGTAGGAATAGGAACCGATGAACAATAATCGATCCTTCTTCTCTTCCAGAGGGGTTCAGAAACTAAGCAATCATTCACCTCCCTCCATTGTTATTTTCAACTGACTTCCACCAATTCTTCTGAAGAGAACAAGTGTGACGCCATAAGGTTCTTCGTGTAAAAGTACTCGTTTGAGGTTCATCGCTTTTCTGAATTCTTCCAGAAAACTGATTTCAACCGATAAATCGTGAACCTATGTCTCATGAAGAAATGTAAGAGTAAGGCTCTTTAGCCGAACACTTCTAAAATCTTTTTCTATTTCGGTGAACTTTTGATGCGGGGCTTTCGAAAAAGCGGTCTTGCAGGTAGCCCATCAAAGGGACCCCACCTTCCAGTTTCAGCAGGCAGACTATTGTTAAATGAAAACAGTCACAGTTATTCTCTGCATGAACTTTTAATGAGAATGATATGGCGACTAGACGACCATGTCGCTGGCCACCATAAATCACAAAAACCGTCTGACCCCAATTTTCCTGAACGAATGGCAAAGATCAATGGCGCCAGCGCCAATACGTCTACGACCATATCAAAAACGTAGAGGAAAGCCATCGAACTACTTGATGAATCTTTCAGATTAAGATAGCTTGTAATCGAAGTAATCGAAATTGAACTATGGAAACGATCAAGATGGAACATCTTCAGTTCACCCATCCCACTCATACTATTTCCTTCAAAACCTAATAGTACCTTTCTGAACGCATACTTGCCTGGCCAGCACGGCCACTTAAAAGAGCGGTTAATGTATGAGCCAACGTTTTTGTCTCTTCGAACGGTCTATCTGGCACCAATTATTTACCCACGGTATTACCCACCACTGAGAAGTAAGCAGTATTGGCAAAATACAATCGCGATTCGATTTCCCACCCAATCTTACACCTTCCCACGCTTACCCTATTTAGATAGAAAAACGTATAAGGTAAAAGGTAAACTACAAGGTAAATTCTATAACAGCATTTTCCGATTCACAAAGGATTTCACTGGGAACGGTTCTCGATAGATTAATTTCTGAATATTTTAGTGACAGTAGAACCTTAGTCACTGATGCTCAGTTCCAGTACCACGAAGAACGTCCAAAATGGGGAGAACGCTTCACAAAACTAGGAAGCCCTTGATAGTCTCGAATCTAGTTGTTGTTTTTGGAATACGGGATCGTCAGGAAAATTTAGGCGCTCTTCGAACCACGCAGACCTGAATTACTTTTACGACTTAACTGTAACCGTATTCGAACACGCCCGGCTGTAAATGTAAAGTAAATAGTGGTTGTTTCTGACGACCGGCTGCAGCCAATTACAGGAGCCGGAGAGTTGAAGCGGAGTTTGTCACCTTCAAAAGTTCCATCAACTTCTTTTGACCAAACTGTGGCTCAAAGAGGCAACAGAAGGCAGTCTTGCCACGGACTCCAGAGTCATACTAACGTGTAGAGAACCCTTTGAGCGGTCTTTCTAAAATTAAAGCCCGTTTCCGTGAATGCCACCATTTCTTCCGACCACCCCAGCTATGTCAACGTTAGCCCTAGGGCGAATTCGTAAAGCGGAACTAGTTGGAAATGTCCGTTTTTATCGAATTACAGTACCAAACCTAGTAGTTTGCTGTAAAGTGCTCTAGAAAGCAGGTATCGTAATATCGTCAGAAACCAGTAGAGGAAACACACCTATAATTACCAATAATAATATATAGCATAGCATAAATCCTACCTATTCTGCTGTAGCATCAAAGACATTCAAATAAAAACTGCACGAATTAACTGGACATCCTAATAAATAGGAGGTATTCCATCTGTTTCTTGGGCAGCCATATTATGCCCTGCCCAGCCAATCCAGTCATCGTTACCTCTCTTGTATTTTTGGGTGAATACCTTCCAATTACTGTCTTTGTCGCGAAATCTTGTGCGGTCTGTAAAAGAAGTTAGGACCGTTACTGGTAGTTGTTCCAGTTCTCGCAAAGAATCAGAAACGGCCTGATCACTCAAAACACTGGCTCTCGTTTGATGTCACCCATAAATATCCGATGCCTCTCAAAACCAGTTACCATTCCTGTTTTGTCAGCTAATCAAACTAATACTCGAAATTAAAGGATAAAAAGGATCAAGTTTCAGAGCGTTAATCAATCCCATCTGAGGAATGCGCCCCGCATTCGACTTCCATTCAAAATCGTAGTGGCGTAATGAGTGCGTATGTGGCCTACAAAATGACTTACNGTGGCCAGCCAATGTACAAGTCAGTGCTTTTTATCTTCGCAGACGAGCCTGGCGCCAGTTAACCGATCTCGGAGGGATGGAAAGCCTGGTTAGCCTAGGCGGATATTGATCTGGGAATCGAACCCAGACCGTGTATATGAGATAGTGTCCGAATTGTCCTTCCAACGTTAATAATTTGTGGGAGCATCACCCTGGATGGACTCGAGTATATTGGACCTTTCCCCTTTAGTAGTAGAGTGGAGTACATTGAATTCATTTGCAAGAATAAAAACACCAATTATTACATTTCACAGCATTACAATAGCCAAATACGGAACCGAAAGCTTTTCAAATCCTGGATTAAAATCGGATGTATGGCGCACACCGCCGGTTAGAGTGGTCAATATAAATAGGGCAATGCTCGATTACTTGAGGTTTTTTGATATGAACATACCTAAA